AAAAATAATTAAAAGAATATAAAAAAAAATTAAGAATGTTAAAGCCCGGTGCTACGCACCGGGTTAGAGACTAGTCATTATATGATAACGTATCAATTACGCTAACCTTAATTCTACTTTTACGTTTTTAACATACAGATGTAGTGTATGACCAGAACCAAGAACCATGATTAATCTTATGTGAACACCAAGTATTTATTTATTGGAAAGCTCTTTTATTCAAATCAATTTAATACAAATGTAGCATGTATGAAACAATAAGTCTAAAGGAATTCTAAAGACGTCTAAATAAAAGGGATGATTTTTATATACTACCAGTTATATATTGTTTTCATCAACAACTTTATTATATCTAATGAATTTGGTATCATTAATCAATATTCATAGAATTTTCTGTGTTTGAATCAATAACCACAGAATTTTCTGTGTTTGAATCAATAACCATAGAATTTTCTGTGATCATAGAATTTTCTGTGTTTGTAGATCTTAAAAAAAATATAGCTCAAAAATAAATATCAATATTTTCAATAAAAAACATGATCATTTATATTATTCAAAAAGAAAAGCTTACTTTTCGACGATTGTTATTGAGTTGTCTCTATTAATATCCGTTTTAATTAATATAGTTGATTCGTACTTTTTTAATTGTTGAAGGAATCCTGTATTTGGTCTATAATACAATAATAGCAAATTAAGCAGATGAATTTATCTTTTAAGATCTGTAACTGTCGTGCATTAGAATAAAACTTAAATGCGAAGTTTTATTAAGTATTTTAATCTAATGCAAATTTTAATTTAACGCATATCATTAACTAACCGAATAGCGGATCTTCTTCCTTTAACAAAACTAAGAGCATCATCCAACGATTGTTGTTTAGATCTCATGATATAGGCTATGACCACTGTTTTAAAAAAGAATTTATTTAAAAAAGATTGACCAAAAATAATTGAGACATATATCTGCGTGCTTACCACTTGCACTACGTGAAACACCTTGATGACTACAGAAAAATAATATTTGTTCATTTAATAAAAAAAAAAAAATTCAATTTTAAAAAAACAAACTCGATATCTTACCAATGAACAAGAATATTTCCATCCTCTTGATCTAAGACACTTTGTATGAATTCAATAACTTCTTCAAAATGTTTTGAAATATTTTGTGATGGGTGATCTCTTATTGAAATTACTTTATACGTGAATGACTAATGAGAAATTTATTAATAAAGGTTTATAAAAGAAATATAGGAAATATAATAACATACCTCAGGAAAAGAAGGTAAAACACTATCAGCTACTGTAAGAATATGTGTAATTTTATGCTCCTTTAACCAATTTTCATCTGTAGCTGCTACCAAACTATTTATCAAATAGTATTTAAGGAAATCCTAAATTCATACTCAAAAAAATTTACAAGAAAAAAAAAACCAACCTTCCCAAGTACAGCTTAGGAAGAATATTAGAAGCATATTTGTTATTATAGCATTCTAATTGAAATTGATTCTTCACAGCTTTTTGATTCAGGTTTTAAAATTAAAAATAGAAAAAAAAAAAGCATCAAAAAAGAAAAAGATAAAACAGACAATAAGAAAAATAATAAACAAAAACAGCATAAAAAAAAAAGTACCAATAAATTGTGAAGATTGCTCAAGTTGATTAAAATTCCTAGAATTCATTTTGAAAGTGTGAGTTGTTGATGATTGAAAAAATTTATCTGATATTGACAACCCTCGTAGATTCTGCGGAAGATGATAATAAAATAATAATTGATCATATTAGCAATAATACAAAATATCTATTGGATATTCTACATGACTGAAATTAGATCGAGAAAAATTCATACCGTTATTTTGGAATGGTGTGTTTAGCAGAAAGGTTGATTATTTATTTATCAGTGAAAACTGCGCGATCCCTATTTTTTGTGCCATATAATATGCTTATTCACGTGATTGTGCATTTATGAATTATTAATACAGTAATCTAACGCTAAAATTGTGTGTGAAATTAATTTCACCGGAGTATTTTTTTTTTTTTTTTTGAGGAGTTTAACTTACATTCAATTCCACCTAAAGTTTCATAATATAAAGTGATTTAGACAATATTGCAATTCGGCAGTTTTCGGAATATAAAGCCCGATTTTTTTAAATCGGACGTTACCGAAATATTTCAAGCTTTTTGTTAAGAAAATTACTATTTTTTTCACGCCGATTTAGTATAAGGGATCAAATTTTAGGTTTCAAGACAACTTCTAATCATAAATGAATGTAACTTTCCCTCTCTCCGAAAAGCAAATAAAATTTACACAATGACCTATTATTTTTAATTCTTACACTATAATAAATATATAATAAAATTAAATCTTTCTTTTTGTTCACTATTACCGTAAATTCTCCAAATGGAGTGCATGGGCGTTATTTTGAGTTATGGCCCGATTTAAGCCAAATTCGAAATTAGAGATAGCCGTAACTTGTCGTAACATAATAAAATTACGGCAAAAAATATCGCAACTCATTATAATTATTACATATTACAGAGGTAGTTACGACAAGTTACGGCAAAAGTTACGGCATCATTGAGACGATTCGCCTGCATCACTATTCGAAATTACCCCTGGAAAAAAGTATCTAGATTCGGATTCTGCGGTGCATAAATTTTAAATTTACTCACTTTGTGACTTAATCATTTTTTTTAGAGCAATATAAAAAATATTTTTAGCATGAACAGGTTTATGCAACGCAGAATTCTTGGCACTCTATCATGACGTTATTTTGGTTAGATTAGCTCACTAAAGATGTTAGCGTTAGGGTTTACTTCAAATTGGTTTAAATTAAATTTATAACTTGTATAGTGCCCTGTTATAAATCATCGACACTTAATGATTTACCACAATTAGATGGTGATTGAAGAAGTTTTATATATTAAGTAATCTCAATAAACAAAACGCAATTAAAATTGTAAATACGTATTAACCCTGAAACAAATGTAGTAAATTTCTTAATAAATTGATAGTGATAGTTGATCACTTCGGTTTATTACGTAGCATTCTAAAACTTTTATAAATTCTCGAAAAAAATTTGATACGTAATATTTTATCGTTAACTGTTAATACCTTTTTTTTTTTCTAGTAAAATTTTTTTTAATGGCTAATTATAAATCCGTAAAAATTTAATTTTAAAAACAATGTACAGTCTATTGAAAGTACACACAGTCTAGCTTGACCTGACTTATAAAAGCTTTAACGGTAAGTGTATGTAGAAATTTATTATCAGTTATATAGAAGAATTTAAACCTGCGTAACGGAATTTATGTAACGAGTATGACGAAAAAAAAAAAAATCGTGCTGTCTATTTTGTTGGTTTTCATTACGAGTCCATGGATGTCGATTGTAATATGATAAAGTACTTTACAAAAATAATAATCAATTCTTCATCAGATGTTCAATTTAACTCCAGCCCTTCGTTATTGTTAATGCTTAAAATGGTTGTGGGATTTCAAGGGGTACATTGTTACGTATAAATTCGCAACTTCTATTGCATTCTAGAATGTACAATTTTAGGTAACACTTTCTTTTTTGATGTTTCATATGCAAATGACATCATCGATATAATTCAGATTCGAGTAGAGATTTAAAGAGAACGATTGACGATTGTGAACCTATATAAGGTGGTTTTGAAATGTATGAAGTACTGTATACTGTATGTTTAATTTACAATGTATAGTCAGCATAATCTTGCATACCCAAAGTTGTAAGCTAATTGCAATGCCTGTATCCCTATCAAATCTCTTTTTTATTATTAAATTTTGCTGAATCGACTAAACATGACTAAATACATTTCATATTTATTCAATATCCTGTTCGTAGTTAGTGAATTTTAACATTTTGGCGATTAGTCGGACTGATAGATCTCTAGTAACAAACTTTTCTCGAAAAATATTTAATGATACATAATATTCGAGTAACCATTATTACTCTTTAAAATAATGTTACATATATATATGTATTAAAAAAAAAAAAAAAAAAGGTTATTCAATGTTCAACCGTTATTGTTACTAAAAAATTATTCGAATTTCATTGGCATCCCATCAAATTTTTATCGTTCATAAATTAATAATAAGATTAATCCTTTCTCCACTAAAAGATCATAATCAATTATTGTAATATTAGTATGATGAATAAATATCAAATAACTGAAAATAAAAAATAACTTACTTCAAGGTTCGCATCGGGTGGATGATCATCACTACTAGGCGATTTTTGTCGTTCATCCAACCTCTTGCTTAGTTTTCCTCCACCCTTTTGAACACCTCGACTTTGTGCCTTAAAAATAAATAAATAAATAAATAAAATAATTTGAATAATAAAATTTATTGTGAATAATTCACAAAGAATAATCTAGGCACTCACTTGTTGAACTCGTCTTTCAGCGGCCTCAGCCGCCGCTGAACTATCAACAGTTCCAACAGTCGGTGTATCGTTTTTTCCGTCGCCACCAAGTTTATATGACCTTTCTTTTGGCCTAATTTTAAAACACTCACTCAAACTTTCAAGGCAGTTACCCATATTTATAATATATATATATATTTTTTTTTTTAAAAAAAAAAAAAAGACGTAAAAAGATTTTATAACGGCTTTTTTTCTAGAAGACCCTTATATATAAAATTACATAATTTTAATTGCATTTACATAATTACCCGGTACACATGAGGATCTAATGACCAACGCAGTAACTATTTTAAGACATGAAACACAACCTAAAAAGTAACGATTCGCCACCGGAATAACAAAAAAATCGTTTTTATTGCGACAACAGCAGGGTTTGAACCTGCGCTCCCAATGGGAATCAGATTTCAAGTCTGACGCCTTAACCACTCGGCCATGTTGTCAAGGAACACTTAGTTAAGAAATTTTCAAATATTTATTAATAAATTTTTTTTTACGTAAAATAATTATCTACGTAACAGGTATTAAATATAACTATCGTCCATCATTTGATAATATATATATTTTTTTTGAAAGTCAATTTTACAATTTATCTAGCAATAAAAGAAAATTAAAATGTTTATTCTTGATTAACAGTGAACCTTCTATATACTACACATGAATACGAAGTTAAAAGTATTAATCTTTACGAACTTGATCTTTCTTTTACACTAATATCAAAAAGCTACACTATATTAATAGACCAACATGATTTCGAAAACAATGGTAACAAATGTCAAAATTCCGATAAACATCCCATTACTAATGCTGAAACAGGATCCATTATGTTTTGGATCGGATGATCCAGAAGTTACATTATTTTTCGTGTTACTCTTCTCGTTATTCTTCATATTATTCTTGTTATTCTTCACATTATTCTTGTTATTATTCATATTACTCTTCGCACTACTCTTTGCCTCATTTTTTGTTGTGTTACCACCTTCATTCACATTTTTATAAGGTGGAACATTATTTACTAAACATTCTGCAATAGTTTCGAATGTGTATCCATTTTTTTCGAATGCCTCAACAATTTCTGGCACAACATCAATACTATACTTATAAGGATCATGTTGTAACGAAATAAAACTATCAGTTTTTGGATTTGATGATGATAAACAAGTAAGAATGTTATTTAAGATATTTGATCTTTGTTCTTGGTAGGATGCTGTTTCGTAACGCCAATCAATAGAATCCATATTCCATTGTGTTACAATTAAATCCAAAGACTTCATTAGTTCGCCACATTGATCATTGCATTCTCCAAATGGTGGTCTATTAATATATATAATTTAGAAATTTTTTAATTACAGTATTTAAACTTGCGACGAGATTTGAAAATAAAAATTGCCTCATATAATTCGGAATTACTCCAGAGATTTTATAAATTGTATCATTAGCCTTAGAAATTTCTTCTTTTTGTTGTTCATACGATAAATCATTTAAATGTGGATGCGTAAATGTATGTATCCCTATTTGATGTCCTTCTTCTAAAATTTTTTTTAATACTTCCGGATACTTTTCCGCTGAAATTCCTAATACAAAAAATGTTACTTTTATTTTTTTAGTTGATAAATAATCAAGTAAAATATTAGTATATGGTCCTGGTCCATCATCGAATGTTAACGCGACAACTCCAGGTTTAGAGCATTTGGTTATAAAACCTGGACCAATGTCTTGAGTTAAGATTAATGGTGATAATGATAATTGATGAATAAAGAAGATCAAGAATTGAAAAATTAATTTGATTTGCATTTTCTTTTCTTTCTTTTTTTTTTTTTGATTAAGTGATTTATTGAGCAAAATCAACTGAAAAATTTAATCATAAAAGAAACTCGCCGTATATATATAATTTTCAAATTAGTATTCTATCATTTTTACTACTAGATAGGGAGCCTATTTAATTATATTACAGATAGTTGCTCTTAATCACGAATAGAGTCTATCATATTATAATTATGTAATTTCGATTTAATAAAAATTTTTATCGGCAATTGTCGTTTGCTGTCAATTCTGAGTATTTCTCTATTCGAAAATCTACTGATTCAGTACCGGGGTTTTTATCCAAGAAAGTACTTACGTAGTAAGATAATACTTTTCGGAGATATTGTACGCAGTGCTAACCGATAACCTACTATGGTGCTAGGATCATATACTAGACAATAAAGATAATATAACTTTAAAACGCATCAACTTTTTATAGAATCAATATTTTTTAAAAGCTATTTAGCAATTTGTAGTACCTATTATGAAAACAAAGCTACCCGGTCAGATTTTGCTTATAAAAGTTATGGCACTTTAAATTTTATTTGAAAAAAATTGAAACATATTGTAATTATATATAAAACAATAGTAAATTTCAAAATTTATTAACTTTTTATACAGAAGTAATTTTAAAAAAATATTTGGCAAATTTATAGAATTAAAACTGCTTTATAAAGTTACTATATAATAAATTTTTTGAAAAATCTCTTATATAAAGGTATAGTAATTTAAAAAAATAAATATATTGTGTATAAAATTTACATGACATCCATTTTTCTACACAGCTAACAAACAAAATTGCATCATATATTTTTTTAAACTGTAACTCTAAACTAGCTTTACACTAAAATAAAGCCAGTTTTTTAATAACCAGTATTAATTATTAATAAAAATTATAACAAAATTTTATTAAAAGTTATTAAAAAACTAGTTCTATTTAGTATAGAGCTAGTCTAGAGCTACAGTTTAAAAAAAAATATAATACAATTTTGCCTGTTAGTTATGTAGGAAAATGTATCTAAATTAGTACAAATTTATATATAAATTCATATGTCAAATAACTCTTTAAAAAATCTAAACTTAATAACTCTAACTATGTTTTGATCAATTAGTTTATTGAACACCTTAGGGCTATGATAATAATTTTACATGCTATATGGCCTGATTTACAAATTTAGAATTACCGAACAATGATAATAGCAAAGCATATTGATCAAACATCTAGCATCACTTTTTTTATTATAAATACTATATTATAGTATATAAAATATTGATTATTAGTCTATTAATCAAGAGACAGATAGTGATTTGGGCATTATATGTTATATAGATGTTTTAGAGATATTATTAAATACTTGATATTAACAAATATACCAGAAAATAATGATCTATTTTATTCTGTTTGTCAGTTTTACAATGCATTTAATGAAAATTTTTCCAAAGCCATTACACCTAATAGTGTTTTCTATATTGACAAATTAATGTAAAATAGATGAGCAAGGTTTGGAAGATACCAAGAAAGCCTCATCCTATTAGCTGTGAATTCAAAACTATTACTGATATACAAATTAATTTGTTTATACAATTAGATTCTATAGAGCCACCAGATATGGAAATAAAAAAAATTTCTAATAAATATCTAGCAATGGTTGCAACTATATTATAGTTAACAGAACTATTGTTTTATAGTAGTAGAACTATTATTAGAAATTCATGATTTGGAAGTATGGCTAGCTGTGTAACTTTATAAGTATGGTATTTATTCTATTATGCAATTAAAAAAACACCATTACTGGCCAAAATATATTTCACATGACATTACAAGCTTTCTTAAAGAACCTTATGAATTATTTATTAGTTAAACAAGAAAATTTGATAATATTAATCTTATTTTATATTCACTTTGTAATTAAAAAAACATAGTATTACTATCAACTTGTTCTGTAACAGATGCTCAAAAAGAGATAAATATATATATAAAGGATTGTGATAATATAAATTTTAAATAACCTATTGTATTTGATGAATATAATGAGCACTAATCTGCTATTAATATTCTTCATAATTTATATAGTAATGCACTATTTTGCTATAATATTCTTACAACAAAGTGTTTAATAAACTGTATTTTTGCTTTTTACTTTATAGTTGCAAAAGCTAACAGTTATTCTGCATATTGCTGATTTATTTCAAAATAAAAAACATTAAACATATAGATTTTCTATAAATAGTTAGTTGCTTCTATTTTCGATTGTTACTTAGATAAAAAGATGAAACCATTGCTGTTAGAACTAAAAAAAAAGAAAATGAGAAGATTTGAAAATTATTAAACATGATTTCATAAGTCTTAGGAACAACTTCAAATTTATCACCTGATGGAAAATGTGTTCAATGTTGTTGTATAAGTGCTATACTTGTACAACAACATGCTGTAGCTGTTTGACAGAATAGGGTATATGCAGGGTTGTTGGTAGTAAATTTACCACTAGTAAATTATGGTAATTTACCAGGTAATTTACCAAAGGTGTAGTAAATTTACCATTATATATTTAAGATTGAGTCTGTCTATGTAATTTGATTGGTCAAAAAATTTTTTACTATATAACCGCAAAATGATACACAGGGGTATAATTTCAATTTTTGGCCTAAATTAAGCTTAATTCGAGCCAAAATTCAAAATAACACCTCTGTGTGTTATTTCGTGGTTATATGGCATATTTGCCCCATAATAATGTGCATGGGTGTTATTTCGAGTCACGGCCTGAATTAAGCTTAATTTAGGCTAAAATTCAAAGCTACACCCTGTGCGTTATTATGGGCAAATATAGTAATTATTAAATTTTATATTGCACAAACACTTTTTAAAAATAACTAAGAGTAAATTTACCAGTAATTTACCAAATAGCCTGGTAAATTTACTAAAAAAAATTAAAAATTACAGTAAACCAACAACCCTGGGTATGTATACAAAATGTTGGGTCTGTTATATTTGTAATATGTATAGCAGGGCTTTTACAAGGTAAAATCTTTTATAAATCTATTTTCTATACTTGTTCTATCATTTTTTAAATTTGCAGTCTAAAATATTTTTTCGGTGAATCACTGAATAATTTTTAATTATGTACTACAAATAGTATACCTGCTATTGCAAACATTTTTGATATCATATAATCTATTATTTATATAATAAATAAATGATAAAAATAAATCAATTTATAAAGCAGCATTAAATAATTCTTCATGTAAAAAATTTTTTAAATTTGTTAATTTTTAAATGCTTTACGATTTTTTTTAAAATGTATTACCAGTAGTACAATAGGTAAAATTCTATCCATTAAATAAAGTAAGCTCCAAACTGTTTCTTACTTTCTTTTATTGACCATTCTAGTTCCATGATTCTAGCAATAAGCTCGATATCTCTTAATTTCACTTTTTTAGCATTTTGTTCAATTTTATTATTCTAGCCCTAAACCTGCTTCTTTAGCCTGAGGCCCCACATTTTTAGGTTTAAGCTTAATAATTCTTTGTTTTAATAAATCTAATTTGAATTGTATTTTTAGTAATAACTTTTTATAAAAATGATTTATTTAATTTTTGGGCTACTGTAGTATAAATAAAATACATGATATCCTAACCAATAGTCAGAAACTTGCCAATTAATTATATATGTGAAATAAGCCACCAGGGCCAATTTTATTAATATGTTAAAAAAGCAAAGTACAATTATGAATAAAAATATCTATCTATTTTTTTTACACAATATCTCTTGCTTTATTTGTTTTTATTCTGTCTTTTAATAACCCAAAATAGCAAAGTTATTTATTGCATAACCCAAAAAATATCAAAGTCTTCATTGTTATAGTTGATTTGCATTTTTCAACTTCTAGTTACATAAATGTGTTCATTCACATGATTTCTTGTAATAAATTTAGAAAAAATACATCCTATTTGCGTGAAAGACTATGTCAAATAAAATACACTAGTATTTCTATACTACGTATTCTCAATAGAATATTTGTAATTTTTTGGATAAGTGTAATTTGGAACTATTCAGACAGAAGATCAAGAATATAGCTAGTTGTAAGACAGGACACAGGCACAAAAAAGCAAAAGAATTGTTTGATAGATATAAAAAGATAAGTATAATAGCATCTTTTAGAAATGCAGATAGAAAATAAGTGGTGTGTTTAGAATTTATAAATCCTCTAATATTTAAGGCTTCGAACAAGTCACGAAGCCAGTGTTGGAGTATATATAATTTATGAGTCATCTTATATTCAAGACTTTAATTAATTTAATACTGGCCCTGCAGAAGCATATATTCCCTATGAAAAATCTTACATTCAAGACTTTGATCAACCTAGCAGGATGGAAAATAGATAAACATGTTAATCGAGAATATTACTATTTTTAAAATTTTTTTTCATTTAGAGTACTTGACTAGGTTACAAACTGGCAAGAAATTGGGATAAGAAGCATTCTTATAAGTGTAAATCAGTTGAGCATTTAGTTCACATCTACCACTCAATATTTATAGGAGGTGGAACTGTTAGCAGAATTATAAACTCTGAAACCTTTACTTTCTGGGTCATTAGACAAGGATTAGAAAAAGGCACAGGTATATATTTTTATTAGTAAAGATTTTTTTTTTCATTAAGGAGACCTCTTTGGCCTAAAAGCTTTTATTAGAATTTGAAACGATGTTTTATATACAATTATAATAATGGTATATCAAGTTACACATGCACCTTTTGAGTGCCTAATTTAAGTAGTCTGTCTGAAGGTTCTACACTATCTGCTATACCTGCACCCCAACTAGGGAGGTACCTATTTAAACTATCTGGTTATAACTGCCACTGGTTAACCACCTAACCCTGGATTTTCTCATCATTTATATATGAATTTTGGTATTACCCTGGCAAAGGATTACTAACTGCCTTAGGACTTACTAACCATTTCTGGCTAATCTATCTTTGAGATAAATCTAACAGAGCGGTATATGTCCCACACATGTGTTTACTTGCATGTTTTTATAACTTCTTTCTAATTAGTACATATTGGCCTGCCATTTCATATTCATATCTCACGCCACCTTTTGAGGTGCTGCCATTCTATAGATATAACTCAAGCACCAACTTTCCTAACTAGGTGTCCATTATGTACTCACTGCCCTTATATGGTTCACAACAATTCCAATACTCACATTTGAACTGTCTCCTTACCCAGATTCCTTATATAGTTCACAACAATTCCAATACTCACATTTGAACCGTCTCCTTACCTGGATTCCTTATCAGTCCATCCCTTACTTCCAGCTGGCAACCCGGAAGGATCGGTCTGCTCAGGCTTTAGGTGTCTAAAGGATGCTCTCCCCTTGGTTCATACTTTCAGAGCATATACTCTTTTTCTCCAGTACAACAACCCGGCAGTTTAGCTAGTGTGTTTTCCGCCAGCAGACCCAGTCACTTGGTTCTTTAATCTTGGGCCCCAGTTCAAATTCAGCCCTCCTGTAGTACCGTCAAAGATCACTACTACCTTTAAATTTAGGACTTGCCAAATAGGTTTTCAGTTATTCCAGTTTCTCAGATTTATTGTGCCAAAGCTCCCATAGCTAGATAGTGTGACCGAGATTACAGATTTCTAGATCCAACCAATAATCGACAACCATAAATCATAGCACAGGCTATTTTTCAAAATTCATCGTTTATAGGATTTGAACTCTAGACTAGCCACTTGGAGAGGGTGACAACTAGACCACTACACTAAGTC